CCCACAGGTATTTTCAGTCAGAGGCTTTGAGGCTTTATTTCCCTGCGATGGAGCCCTGGGTTGCACGGTCTGTCTTGCTCCCCAGTTGTTCCTCCTCGTTTATCTGCATGTGAATGTGGGACCACCCAGTACACAATCCGCTGCCTAACCTGGTCCACCAGCCGCTGCCTTGCCCAGAGTCCTCTCCACCTGGCTGCCTATCTCTGCCCCTCTTACTGGTCTGGATGAATGTTTCTTCTTTAGCTCCTCAGTTGTCAGATTTTCCATACAGTTCGATTTTCCGGTTGTTTTTTGTTTTTAAATTTGTTGTTCTTATTTTGGTTGTGTGAGGAGGCACAGTGTGTCTACCTATGCCTCCATCTTGGTTGGAAGTCTCATTGTTCCTGAATATAGTTTAGCTGTAACCAGAAAGTGAGTATCAGAGGCTCTGGAGTCACCGAAGCAGTTATGACACCTCTGTTTGGAGGAGGAGCACAGGGACTAGGGCCGTGGGTCCAGGTGGGTGTGGCCGTGCGTCCAGGTGGGTGTGGCCATGCAAGCCGGTCCCAGGTGTTGTTGTTGGGGCCATCAGGCCCTCTGGGAGTCGGTGGGCGTTCTGCATGTATTTACAGGCAGACCGATGGATAGGGCCTGTGGGTCCAGCTTGAATACAGTGAGGTTTCTCACGAAGCCCGTGTATTCATCAGAGAAAGAACTCAGGTTTGTACCTCTAACCTGCTTGAAGAGTCTTGGTCATCTGGTTCTCTAGTCCACAATAAGAACAGAGATGAGGCTGACGAGGTGTCCCGTGGAGGGAGAAGTTCCACCATCGAGTCTGGCACCCAGTCTGGCCTCTCGGATAGAGCTGACAGCAGCAAGCAGTAACAGCTGGTGGCTTCACGTTGTGAGATAAAGACGGAAAACTTAATGAAGAGCAAGAATAATGAGCCACAGGCCCTGCGTTTTACTGTGTCCAGATGTAGCACTGCAGATGGAGTTGGATTTATGCTCCCTGTGTCCTCATAGTTCTGGAGAATGACCTTGTGTGGAACACCCCGTTTCTCAACATTGTAGATAACAGAGTTAATGGTTATCGTAGACAGCAAGTCATCTGTTCTCTTTCTAAGTCAGCACTCACGTGTAAACACCACCAGCAATTCACATCTAACTGTGAACCCTGATATGTTTTCCTGCTAGATTTTCAGGGAAGCTTTTCTTTTTGCTTTTAGGCGTATGAGGGATGCGACTGTGGCCTTGACGTTTTTGTGTACGTGGAACGTTGAGTACCGTTCTTTTTCCTCTCAGCACCAAGTGGCTTTCTGACTGTGTACTGCTTAACTATCTTTTTCATTTGAAAACATTTGGATGTTCTTCCAGTGTAATTAAGAAAGTTTATTTTTGTTGAATAAAAACAGTAGCAAGTCTGTTTTACTTGAAACAAAGTGCAAAGATTGTTTCATATAAAACAGGCATTATAGCCCTGGCTGGTGTAGCTCAGTGGATTGAGCGCGGGCCTGCGAACCAGACAGTCGTGGTTCGATTCCCAGTCAGGGCACATGCCTGGGTTGCAGGCTGGTTCCCTGCAGGCCAGTTCCCAGCAGGGGATGCATGAAAGGCAACCGTACATTGATGTTTCTCTCCCTCTCTCTGTCCCTTCCCCTCTAAAGATAAATAAATAAAATTAAATTTAAAAAAAAAAAAACAGGCATTATAATGTCATGTTAAAACCATGGGCCTTTGAGATTGATTGGCTTCAAATCCCACATGTGCCGTGGACGAGCATTGAGATGACGGGGAGGACACGCGTCACCTGAGCCTGATGCCCCTTGTGTGGAGCAGGCGTGCTCGCTCCCAGCAGTGCATTTCCCGGTTCCCTGTGTGGGGTTGCAGGAGGTCCTACAGGTCAAGTCCAGCGCGGTGCCTGCTCTGTACCTCATGTCTGTTACTCTTTCCTTCAGATGTTTTTTTCAAAGCCTCCTATACAGAATAGACTTTAAAATCTCTTTAAATAGCCCTGGCCGATGCGACTCGTGGATTGGGTGTCAGTCTGCCAATCAAAGGGTTGCCAGTTCGATTCCCAGTCAGGGCACATGTCTGGGTTGGGGGCCAGGTCCCCAGTAGAGGGCGTGGGAGAGACAACCACACATTGATGTTTCTCTCCTCTTTTTCCCACCCTTCCCCTCTAACAATAAATAAATACAATCTTTAAAAAAAAAAAACTCTTTAAATAACATTTTAGGAAACATTCTCCCTCCTGTCCCAAGCACCTTTTCACAGCGTGTGCCTACAGGAATCCCCTCAAGGCTGGCGCCACGCCAGAAGCGAACTCTGACTGAGGGAGGACTGAGGGAGAGTCACCCGTGGGTGTGAGGGATCTGGCCCCCAGGGAAAAGCTGTGGAACACTCGGGAGGGATCAGTGACGACAGGAAAGAGCAACACTTGGCATTACGTATTCAAGGAAAAGCGCTCGGTTTCTGCTTTGGAAGATGATAAGCACCATAGCAAACTTTTATTTTCCCTAAAACACCACTTCTGACCTCAGGTAAACCTGTCTGGAAGGAATCCCACGGCCCCCCGTAAGTCTCACGCAGCTCCAGCCGACAGTTACTGGGGTGCACACTTCGTTTTCCGTGTTACGCCAGCCCCTGGTGTGTCGTCTGTATTCCTGTCCCAGGAGCAAACAGAAGGCGTCCTGTGCGTTTTGGATTTGATGGCTCTCTGAGACTCTAAATGGCATTGGATGCGGGTTGCATTTTGACCTGCTGCCCTGTCTGAGTGTCTGTGGTCACCAAGCTGGCTGTCAGTGATGGTCATCACTGTCCAGGGGCTGTGCCGTGTGCCTCAGTGGGAAGCACTGGGCAGCAAGCAGTTGTCAAAAGGCATGTGTTTTGGAAAGCTCTGCACATTCCTTATGTTCTCCGAGGAAATTCTATCTTAAATCACCGCTCTTCATTATATATAGTTAGCTGCAGATATTCCTCACATGCCATCATAAGAGCTCAGTGAGTCTGAACGTGTATCTGCGTTGGCTGTATTTATGAAGTGTAAGGGAGCACCAAGCAGGCACACTCCCCCTTTATCAGAAATCACGCTCGGCTGCAAAGGAAGTGCTGGGAGAGACTGCGTGTTTGCGTTTGGGGTGAGAAATTTTCTCTCTTTTGCAAAAAATGGTGTTGCCCCTCCCTTGTGGAATGCAGAAATAGGGCCCAGTGCAGCAGGTAGCAAGGAATGCAGCTGGAAGTGACGAGAACGAAAGGGTAGAGGGCAGGTAAGGGTTAGGGTCAGGGTCAGCTGTTAGCTGGTGCTGGGGTGGATGCTGCCAGAAGATGCTTAGTGACTCCTAGTGACCCTCACAGCAGGCGAGGACAGAGTGATGTGGAGCCAACCAGAGCGGATGTGTAGGTTCGGAGGTCACATGGAGAGGGTGAGGGCACAGTACAATAAAGCCGTGATAGTGAGGGACTGAAGGCAGCGGGCACAGGCAGTGGGTGGGTTTAATGCTGGTTGGCGGACTTGTATGGGGCAGTGTTATCTTTGCGTTCTAGAGGGAAGGGGCCGCTTGGGAAGTGGGGGTGGCGGCGAAGGCACTGAGAATTCCCGTTACTGTGTCTGCTTCCCAAATAATAGAGCATCAACCAGGATCCCTCTAGTCTGGGGCAAGGAGGTAGTGTGTAAATTTTCCCAACAGTCAAAGGTAGGGGAGTGGCATTCTTCGTAACAGTCCCAGGTTCGGATCGTCGCAGTAGCTGGGATAGAGCGGAAGGAGCATCGGGAGGTTGGGGTCCAGTTCCTGGCTCACACGCTGCCTTGGACTGTCCTCACCCTGGCCTGTTTCTCATACAGAAGGCCACTGTAACATCCGTGTTGCAGAAATGTGAGGATGACGGGTGACCTTGTTTTGGAGTATGCTCTGTAGTGACCCACCAGTGACATCACCTAGGGTGAGGCCACCCTCACCCAGGTGTGAAACATAGCCAGCATGTCAGCATTAAACCTCAGCTTGGTGTCATCGGTACACCAAGGATGGAGCAGCTTGGGCAGCAGAATGAAGAGCAGTCCATCGTGGCAACCTTAAGCAGTCCCAGAATGTCCTAAGTGTTAAGGCCTTAGGAAGAAACCTAGATACTGAGTACCCACCACTATCTCAGGCATGTCGGTAAACAGTAGTTGTACTATAATGGTAAACATACACATCCCAGCCTAGAGTTCAGGAAGAAGTGAAATCGACCTGATGCCTGTTCAGCACTGGTTATGGATGGTGCTAGACAACTTTAAAAACACCAGATCTGGTTAAAAAATGATCACAGTTTTTTAACTGATTGTATACATCTGGCTTCCCCCAGTAGCAGCTTCACACTCTTGAGAGCTGCCAGCCTCTGGCTGTTGAGTGTCCTGGGCACCTGCAGTGCCTCCCCACCGACCTTCCCTCCTGCCACTGGGCTGTCCACAGGGGGCGGTGGGGGGCCTGCCTGGGTCTGCAGGTTAAAAAGACATATGGCTTCCTATTGTTTCTTTCCAAGAGGAAATGCACACACTGTGCTCTTAATGTCCTCTGTATTTTGTGGCTTGTACCTGTGCTAATTTTAGTAATCGTCTTTGTGTATACACGTAATGTCTTTAACTGTGTTTTGTTCTCTCTTTTCATTCAAGGAAAGTAAAGAACACCCTGCCAGCCTTCTAGGCATTCCCTGAAATAATTACTGGGTGCTCGTGTGGGACGTTGCACTGGTTTTACCGTTAGAGGGGGTTGGATAAGACGTCAGTTCCACACCCATAACGCCTCTGGTTGTACAGAGCTGATGGTTTGTAAACCAAAAGCTGTAGGCTGAGGCAGAAAGTGACAGAGTATGAGACTTGCAGTTTTCAAATGAAAAAGTATTAGCATAGATTTTTATATTTCCTGTTATTATTTGGAAAAGTACAGAAAAAATGGGAAAAAAGTTTTAACAATAAAGAATAAGCATGTGTTGGTCATCAGTTTGGCTTTAGGCTCTGTCTTATGTATTTGTTCGCCCAACAGATGGTTGAGTGGCCGGGCACTGTGGGGAGCGCTAGAGAAATTCCATGCCGTCATCCGTTTAGAAGCTCCGGGTGTAATAGTAACAGAAGGCAGGAAGGCATGGAGTCCCGGTCTGTGCCCGGTGTTGCATGTGACTCCATGGGACCCGGGTCTGGCGGCCAAGAGGGACTCAGCTGAAACGAAAGGCTTCAGAAGGAAGGTCAGTCTCATGACTTTTGAAGATGCTAGGGGTTTGCTTTTACGGAAAGATGGCTGCGGGTGCGGTGGGGAACTGAAAGCCTGAGAAAACCAAATGGACCTCTTCGGGACAGTGAACCTTTGTAAAGTCTGATTCTAAGTTTGCTAAGGGCAAAACACAAGGGAAATTGCGTAATTTTGAGGAAAGGAATGATGTGAATATAATGTGGTGGTGGTTTTAAGTGTTTTTATGGTGGTTTGAAATATTTTCACCCATTAGGTTCAGAAAGATTAAAGAGTCTCAGTTAAGCTTTTTTAGAAAGTCAAGCAAGACATTTTTAAAGATATCTTGCTTATTAACCCTGGGTAGGAAAGATTTATAAAAGGAAAAAACAGTGATGATGCTTCATATAACTAAATCCCAGAAAATCTTGGCTCTCCTTCTAAAATCTTGAAACAGAATGTTCTCTGGAACATTCTTTGGAAGACAGCTTGCTATCATGGAATTGTTAGTTTGCAGTGGAAACTCCAAACTGCTGACATATGCACCCTACAGATTTTTAAACTGCGGAATTATTTCAGCCAGCTGCCAAACCATCGATCTGTATACTGGTAACTTTTACAGCTAGGTTCTATACATGTAAATAAGTGTTCATAACTGAGCGATAGTGATCCTCTGTGCTGTAAGCTGTAATCATCTGATTTCCAAACTGACTTGCCTTGACTAGAATTAAGCTATTTAAATCAGGAGTTTATTTTAAAAATTCAGATTAGATTCCGTTTTTTAAAGAGAGTTTAGGTTACAGTCCTTGACTTTGCCATTAACTAACTGTAACCTTGGACAGGTTTCTTAGCCTGTGAAAGGTCAGGTTCCGCAACATCACGTTTTCAGACGGCGACTGCGGATCTGTACGTGCGCACATAGTCAGTGTAAGTTGTTGCGATACATTTGGGAACACTCCCCAGTGTTCACAGTAGTGAGTTAATGAATACCCTGGGGCATGCGGGCCCAGGCCCCACTGTACTGTACACGGTACTCACACTTGTTCCGATGCAGAAGTCGATCGGAGCTGGGCCTGCGGGAGCGAGGTTCCACTCCGCACACACCTGCCAGTCCCCTCCACAGGGGAGCATGTGTCGGCAGACACTCCCCGGCCCGTGGTGGTGGAGGGGACAGGGACCTAAGTTTCTGTGGGCCTGCACACCCCGTCCCCAGCCAGCTGACTGGGCCTCGTTAAACAATACACAAGTGCTTGCATCTCCCCTGTTTCTATAATAAAACCCCAGTCATGAAGCCTTCCTACTTTGCAAAACTTCCCTCTTGTGATTTGTTTTGAACTTTGGCTAAATGTTGTCAGAGAAGAAACAGTGCCTGTCCCGTTGTAGAGATAGAGTTCCAGATATGCAGGTTCTGTTTCTAGTTAAAAATCGAACAATGAACGCATGCTGTGGAAACAGGCATAAGATGCGGTGTCGCCTGCGGTCCTGAATCTAGGCATTTTTTTATTTTGAAAAAAGCAGAAGAATTGTTATATTTTCCATATAGAATCAAACACTGCAAAGGGAACTCTTTTTAACTCGAAACTAACGGAATGTTATGCTACGTGTACAGGGTCCCGCAGAAATAAGGCTTGAGCGTGGTTGGTAGGGGACGGGGATGTCTCGCACGAGATGGACGGCAGTTTGAACGTTTCACCTAAAATGTCATATTCTGTGCTGCTGGAGTGTGACATTGGCATGTTACAGAATGACATGTTCACGGTTTTGCAATTAAAAAGGGCGTTATTTGTGCCAGACCCTGTGTATGGATCAAAATGAAAAGTGTAGTTAGGAAAAAGGAATGATTAATGTGCACAAACACTGGGAAAGAAGTAGATAATTATTCTATTTTAAAAAGAGAAAGAAAGAGCCCTGAACAGTGTGACTCAGTTGGTTGGAGTATTGTCCCATAAACTGAAAGGTCGCCGGTTCAGTTCCTGGTCTGGGCACATGGGTTGTGGGTTTGATCCCCTGTGTTTCTCTCTCTCCCTCCGTTTTGCTCTCTTGAAGATCGATAAGCATGTCCTTGGGTGAGGATAAAAAATAAATAAGTAAAAATAGAAGGTACTTTCCAGAGAGGATGAGACCGTGAGGGTGAAGGAAGCCAGCGGGACCAGCATCACCCACGGCTGTGCTTTTCCTGGGCTTGCCACGTTCTCACTGGGCTGCTTTGGGCCACAGTGCCGCTACTTCGTTTCTCTGAGTGTCTGCAGAAATGGGGAAACGATGCCTATTTGTGCAGGTGGGAATCGATGGTGGAGACACAGTCCAAAATAAGTGGGCAGCCGTTACCGTGGGCGTGCGTGACACCGGCCTTGTCGCATGTGGCTGACCTGTGTGTGCTGTAACATTTTTGGAAGACAGGTGTCAAAGGGCACAGAGATAAATTTAGTGGACAGCGTTTCAGAAAGGGAAGCTAACACAAGAGGGATGAGAAACTCAACAACACAATCCTGCTCATGTGTGTGAAGTGACACTGAGGTCCCTGTGCAAACCCTGCTCTGAGAGGGGCCTAATCCGAAAGGACTCTCCCAGGACAGGAAGATGCACAGCCCAGGAGGACTGCAGAAGCAGAGGACAGCACCGTTACACAAGGCTGAAGGTCAAAGGCTAAAGGTTGTTTTGAGATGAGGCCTATGTAAAACCCTGAAGACAACGAAAGTGTCTTTATATGAAAAAGAAAGAGGAAGGGAGTGGCCTACTGCATGGGGCCTGTGGCATTGTGTTGGTAGGTAAAGCAGAACCTCTCCATCAGTGGGAATGAGAGCCTAAGAAAGGTGAGAAGCCTAGGACAAGGCCCTTGTTGTCCTCAGAGGTGCCCTGGCCTTAAAAAGGGATGACTTTGGGAACTGGACGAACTTATGGACTGACCTCCAGGTCCAGGGATTGTGGTGAGCAGGACGGGGCTCCCGTGCTTGGAACGAGGCAGGTGTTCTGATTTTCAAGCAAAGAAGAAGGTGGTTTCTTAGAACTATAGGCTGTGAACTTGTCATTATTCCCGGCCTGGTGCGGAAAAGGATTCCTTTTAAATCCATTAAAACGGGCCTGTCTGCCCTGACAGAAGTGGTATCAGTTGATGAAGAACAATTCCTGCCAGAAGTCAGGGATGCAGCTTTTAAAGAGGGTTGTTTGCTTGGCGAATGAAACCTGGAGATGCTGGATATCAGGATTTCAGCAAGGTATTTGAGAAAGTAGCTGAGATTTTCTTGATGAGAAGGATGGAGAAACAGGGTCTGGGTGGCTGTGCAGCCTGGACAGTACCAGTTCACAGAGCAGTGTCAGCCGAGGGAAGTGGGGCTGCAGGGGTGGACGGAGGACCCCGCACATCATGTGGAAGAGCTGGGCGACGCACCCTGAATGCGGAGCAGAGGTTCTGACCTCTGACCTGGGAGGAAAAAGGAGCACCAAGACAAGACGAGCGAGGCAAGGGACGAGGACATCCGGGAACCAGGAGTAGCCATACGGACTGCCATACGGGGGCTCGTGGATGGGGTCAGAGGCGGTGGCGCTGCCCCAGCAGCTTTGTTTGTTCTCAGCTCTTGCAGGTTGTCAGAGGCCCCTTGATAGGGGCTGAAACGGAGGAAGAGATTCCTGACCTCAGGCTTGCCTTCGTCAAGTCATGTCTTGCTGATTGGAATGAGGAAATGGTTATCATGTATGCCGATTAAATCTCCAGGGGACCCAAAGAAGGAAGAACTAAAATGTTGGCTGACTTGTGTACCTGGGTCCGGAAAACTTAGTTGTTGGGGGTGTGGGACGAGGACATGCTGCTCAGTGGTAACCCGCGAGGCAGACGCTTGGTGTCATTGCAGACTCATGTGGCTGTCAGAGTCAGGGAGAGCTCGGACCCGCAGCAGAACGGTGTGGTCCAAGCTGAGATGGGGGGCCGTCCTTCCCAAGGTTATCCTGCTCCCACAGATCACGCCACGTCTGAAGTTTCAACTCGGTTCCAGTTTCCGTCCATGGAGGAACCCGTTTTGAATGTGCGAGTATGAGACTGACATGGATTTGGGGAGCACTGTGTACATCGGATGTGGACAAATGTGCTCACCCTGGAGAGCGTCTGAGGGGTTTAAGGACCACTGGCTTAAAGGAAGTGAGGCGCAGCTGAAGGATTGGGCTTACCCTCTGTGGTAGCGCAGGGCCTAGATTCAGGCTCCCTGCCCCTGTAGCTGCCCAGAAAGAAATGGAAGCTTCAGGAGAAAGGCCCACTGCAAGAGAGGCTGCCTGGACAAAGGCCACTTTGAGGGAAGTTAGCTCAGGGAGCCAAGTGTAAGCCCGCTTGGACTTGAGACTCCATGGTTCTCACCCTCTCGTCTGCACTCCCGTGTGGCTCTGGTTACCAGAAAGCATCACGGGCATGTTGCTGCTGTGCAGGACACGCCCTTTGAGACTGACTCCTTGTTAGGAGTGCGACTCAGAACTGGAAGTTTGGGTTGTCTTGTGTGAAGAGGGCATCCGTTTCAACCCTCTTCGTTCCACTGGACCCGGCTGTATCCGTCAGGATTGAAATGAAAGGCAGGCGCAGTGAGACCGCGGGGCCGCGCCTGCATATCTATGCTTCTGGGTGCCAAAGAGCAGAGCAATTCTTGGAGGCTAAGGGTTTTTTCTCAGTTCTTTAAAAAAATGTGTTTTCAGAGAAGCACTGTGTTAAGGATAGACATTTTTGTATGTTTTAAAGTTTTAAAAATTTATTTGCTTATCGTAAATGGAAAAGGGAGTCCTTCCTTAGAACTCTGGTATAAGCCGCAGGCTTGGTGTTGTCAACTAGGACTCATAGTGATGGCCAGGTTCCTGGTTCTGGTCGGTGCCACTGCGACCACCGCCAAAGATCAGATCTTCGTCCTTGTCCCTTTCGAGCAGGGAAGGGATTCAGGATCCGTGGGAACTTCATTTCCAACCTGTTCCCAGGTGGAGACAGCACTCCCCTGCCCTGGTGGGGCATGTCGGTCCCATCCGCATCCACGTGTTCCCTCTGGTCAC